AGCAAAATTTGAAGCCCACGGTGGAGTGGCTGCGTGACTTGGGGCTTGACAGTCAGCAAATTGCAAAGGCAGTGGCAGCTTTTCCGCAAATTCTTGGGCTTAGCATCGAGCACAATTTGCAACCAAAGTCTGTACTGCTCAAAGACTATTTTTCTCTTGAACAGGTCGCCACTCTCATTGCTGTATGCCCACGAGTGTTCTCATACAGCTACCGTCGCTTAAGCAGACGCTTGAGGATTCTCTCGGGTCAAAACAAAACTGCTGATGTGGTAAAGGCACACATGCTGCCAGATGCTGATTTCTCTGAGAAATATGGACCGCAAACACAATCCAAGGCTTGACTTCAGTGAATTTCAATTATTGTACTGTATATAATTCGGAATGATTAAAAAGACTGCTGAAAGAGCCGTTGAAAAGCTTGGTAGGTTTGTCCCTTCTGTATAGGACCCTCATTGCCAAGCCAACCCTTGACATAGGATTACGTAATATGTTCATGTTTGACAAGAACACAGGTTGAAACTTGTTCTGGTACTTGAGACTTATCTCGTCATTATCCCATCAGAACTTCATAACACTATTCTATATAACAAGAGATTACATGCGGTGAAGTTGGCGGTGAAGTATTTCCTTTCATTCTGCAGCAGGTCAACAAGATTATACTTGACAAGGATGAGGTTGAAACTCGTTGATTACAATAATGTCAACCACACACCATGGCACAATGCATTCCTGTGTGATTTGATATGATTATCCAGTCACTGGGCACCTTGATACCTCACTACGCCATTCAGACGGGACATGCCAAGATTGATGCACTAAAACTGGATGTGTGGGTATATTGGACATCCCATTGCATGGCCTCTAGGCTTTCACCAACCCCAAGGAAGGGACCATGAACAAGTACGTTGACTTCAAATATATACTTCATGACCGGAGCCAGGCCATACGGCTTCATTCACACGAGGTACAAGTGGTAGATTACAACTAGAGCAGCACCTTCCCAGCTAAAATACTCGTGCAACACCGCCATCGAGGTCCTTGAAGTTTGTCACTGAAAGACCTGCAAACATCTGCAAACAACATCTAGCCATGGCCATGACCCTTGGAAAAGAAATGAACGGTTCTTGACGTTTTTTGAAGATGGGCAAGTACCAGAGTCACGCCTCCCTCAACAGACAGTTGGAAGAGTGGACAGGGAACGTATACTTCTTACTTTTCCCTGCTGGGGCTAGGTCTACCGGGTCTACTAACAGAGTAGATGACCCCAATGTACACCGTTGTTCACTCACCCTGGGCGGTGCTGCTTAGGTGTTGGGTCAAGACTAGAATGTCAATGTCATTGCATGGTTTCTTTCTCCCGGGCGGTTACCTCCAGCTTCCATCAGTGTTTTTGCCTGTTTGTCCAGCCGTTTCAATTCAAGGTTCTTGAGAAGAGTTTTGCGCTCACAGGCGCGTGTCATACACACACACACAAACCTGGGAGACAGCTTGGTGGTGATGAAAACATCCCACGATCATATGAGATGGAAGAAGGGGTGTTACCTTACTTGTCCAGATGTTTTCACAAGCGATGTGAGTGCCAATCCTACTGCCGACACCTTTCACAGAAAACAACTCCGAGACAAATTTAAATGTCCAAGTGAAATCAATAGGAACCAGCCCTATATCTAATTGTGGCAGCGTGCACAACAAACATTTCTTGTTCGCCACTCACTCATGGGAATTCAAGCCTCCAATGCAAGGATAGGGGAAAGCGCTCCAATCAGATGGAGACACTTATGTGGGACTGTTTCACGAATGCTTTTCCATTTGCGGTGCAGGTAGTGGTGCAGGTCTATTACTGGAAAACATCAAATTGAAGCTGTTTCACCGTTTACACACAATATATTTCTGCAACGAAAGCGAGCTGATAGGCTAGGCTTAAAAGAATTTGCGAACGAAGTGAGTCTTTAGTTTAGACCACATTAGCCTGCTGGTGTCTTTACTTGATTTTTGGTGGGTTCGTGATGCAGAAGACGCAAGGCAAATGGATTAGTACATCATATGCATCATCGACCTGCTCTAACGACACTATTTGGTTTATGTGTATTGAATGTTTGGGTGGCATTCTACTCGGACTTACTTGTTCACGGTTTTAACATGTGAAAGTCAATTTCCTATACACATGCCACATGCAGGTAGTTATTCCTGGCTTTCGTTTCCCCCTTCTCAGGCTTGCTCTTTGGACACATGCCGAGGTCTGTGGCATCATTGAGCCACAATATTCACAATATCCATCCAATCTGCCTAGCTGTTGGTGTCGTGGCTATGTTTGCTTCCATGTTTCCTTGTGTAAGTGCATTTCCAGGAACAATCTCAAATAAGCATCCCCAGTACATTCCTGGATTCCTTATTGTTTCTTGTATCCGCACTGCTCAAAACTGATAGGAATCACCCCACCAAACTGAGACAAAAACACAGAACAATTGGTGCAAGGCATTCTTCTGGTTTGGTGTGTTGTTTCTGCTCTCCATGTTTGCAAATCTTTGCTGTGCAGGTTTACTACACGATGGCAGCCCCCTTCGGTTTAGTGATGACTCCACTCAGATTCCCCTGGCGTCGATTCTGGCTGCTGGACCGGGACCCGCCGGACGTGATCTCCGAGATGTTTGAGATGCTGGGAGGCTGCTTGGAACTCGTGGGATGAATGGGATGTTTGAGGCTGCTAGTCATTTAGGTTTGGAGCTGAAGTCGGAAATGATGCGAAATCCCAAGTTCATCATTGCGAGGTTTAGAAGGGGTTGCTTCCAGGCTTCCTGACTCGGTTCTGTGTGGACTCAGTGGACTCCATTTGGACTTCCCATCTTAAAAGGGTGGGGGGAGAGGCCAGAGGCCTTGATGACTCAGTGGACTTGTGAGAGTTGCATGATATCATCACGGAACAGACATCCAAGTGAATTGTGAAATAAACATGCAAAGGTGCTGCTTGGTGGTGGTCGGTTGGGTCCTTGACATTACACAACAACCGCGTGCGTAGGAGTCGTCCTTCATCCCCGTCAGTGAGGTGATGCCTCCGTCATTTGCTTTTCCGCCGCAGCGATGACACATTGGCTGATGGCCATTAGCGAGGCATGGCCAGTGATGCCGACGTCGATTCTCAGATTCCCAAGGGTGCCAGTCCAATGCCCAACAGTTCAGAGGTCACAGGTGGTAAGTGGGTTTTTAGGGCTTAGCGTTCAGGCAAGTCTGACAAAGATGGTGGACTTGGATGATTGACTGGCTGACTGGGTATAGTAGTTCCGATATGATTCTAGAATATATATGTATATATTATATTATATTATATGATATGTTCCTTTTTAATTTGTACTTGGTATGATTGATCCCTTTGACTCAGAATGTTTTTCAATTGAGCTGAAAGCGCCAACCCTGGACGAACGGCCGGAATGAGACGACATCCTCAGAACACACGCCTCACTGTGAAAGGAACCACCTCCTCAGTGTCTCCACCCGGATCGCCCTGTTGACAAAGCGTTCCAACACCCCCCACTCGATCTGGCCACCAAATCGGAGGGTGATGGTCTGTGACGGTCTGTGACATTGGGGATGAGGAAGCGGATGGCAGGACTGGCGTGCTTGGCGCTTTTTGGCCGTGCACTGTCAGGAGCAGAGCATCTTTTTCACTCTTTTCTTTGGCGAGCTGCGAGCTGCGGATAGTCTGCGGAAGGTTTGCCGTTCAGATGCGAAGATCTCTTTGGGAGTTGCAAACAGCTTGAAGGGGCCTGGATTACTAAAGCCAACAGAATTTCCTTTGCTCCAAAATAGATTTGTCCCTTGGCACAGTATCGTAGGGCTGCTCCATTGGGGTCCTTCGCTTCATCCAGTACAGGTGCACCCATGTTCCCTTCGACCGGACAAATTCCGGGCGATTGACACTCCCAAAGAATCGATGGTCACGTGGAAGGACGACCACCTGTTTCTGGAATTGAGAATTTCATGGTCCATCCCGAACAGGACTCGGGGTAGCATATCCACTTCACTGCGATGTACATATTTCGTGTCAATGGATTCCGGATCAGCCCGAGCCACTTCAAATACTTCAAACAGCATCCACCCGTTAATGATCCGTTGACCGTGCTTGACCCGCTGCTCCCCGTTGTCGCCCGGCCCGGAGCTGCGACCGACCGTCGCCGATGACGTCGCCAGACGGTCCCAAGCGCCGATGACGGTCGGCAGGAGCTGGAGACGGTGCAAGAGCATCAAGTGCTTCAAGCCGCCTCCAAGCTGTGCTGGCTGTACACGGTGCCCCCCTCTTTCGAGGTCGTTCTAGAGAGTTTAGAGCACTCGAAACGAAGAACAAGGGGCCCCAACGGGCCTGCTTGGAGTACGTAGTTCACAAGGTTTATGGAGATCCCCAAAAAATGGTTGCAGGATTCAGGATATTCGACACGCACTTGTCAATTGTTTTGATTGTGCGGCCTCATGGAGATAGACTCTGAATGTCGGAGAGTCACTATGCTACTATAGGTGTTTTGGATTGTTCCATAATCTATCAGACAATGACCTCTCCTGAAAGCAAGATAGAAGCAGCTCTCTTGCATTTGTATATTGATGGTTTTGATCAGTGTCAGGGTGTCCTGTTCACAAACGACTTAATTTGTTTGGTTGTCGATTTCCACAAGTTTCTTACTTGAATGTCAGGATTGAGCTTAGCCTTCCCATGCAGGCCAATACGCATCCATTGCTCCTACTTTGTGTTTATGAGAGATATTCTGAAGATTTTCATGTCCTCTACCCTCAAGCCGGCTAAAGAAAGAGCGCTGTCGTCATACACTTACCGACCGCATAGGGGCGCAGCGGGAGGTACACCACCTAGTAGCGGCTATGGTCTTCGCCTACTACTTGGTCTTCGATGAGCTTGCCGCCACTATGCCGTAAACCTGTGGGTGTGCCAGGTGTGTTGTGAGGGTATTAAGAGGAGAGCATCCATCCAAAAGTTTCACATGAGGAGATGTTGAGGAGATCTTCTGGGTAATCAGAAAAAAAGAAACACATGCCAGGAGATCATCGAAAATCCCAGAGGAGATTTGAGTATCATGAGTTTCTTTCCCAGTTTTATCCAGGTGTGACAAACAAGAACAGCACAGATCTTGTTGCTGGGCTGGGCGGGTGTCTGCAGACTCGGCAGAGTGGCGCAATGGCGCATCACAGCCCCGAGGCTAAGGACCCCGTCCTTTGTCCCGGGTGTCCGTTGGATAAACGTTTGTGCAGTCAGCAGAATGGAATGAACCCATTTTCCATCCATGTTCCTCAAGAATGAACTGTTGACTTGTTGCAGGTGGTCAGTTTGAAATCACCCCAAATATCCCAAAAACCGGTGGTGGAGAGGCAAAGTGGGTTCACAGTGCCAGACAAAGGCATGTTCCTCATGCCGAGGTCCTGTGCTGCTTTGGTGCGTTGTTCGAGCTACCTGTTTGCGCCTTGGCTGAAGCTGGAGACATGTGAATTGATGCTGCAAGCCAGATAACGCAGTCAGTGTTAGAAGCTAGAAGATGTTAGAAGCGGGTGGTCATGCAGCTGGCAGAAAATGCCTTAGACTCTCAACTCCAGGGTCCAAGTCCTTCAATCAAATTCCGAACGATCCATAAGTCTAGAGTAAAGTATTGCATAGTATTACTATATTCAGCATCCCCAAATCCAACAACCCCAATGCCCATTTGATCGTCGTTTTCATGACCAGGCTTCACCAACCTTCGCGACTTCGTCGTGACCTTTCACAAGGACCTTTCCCGCTTGACGGCACCTTCGATGGTCCGAAGAGTTCCCAGTTTGACCTGGAGCTGGTCCAGACCATCCAAAGACTCCCTGGAAGTCCACTTATGTTACACATTTGCCCCATTTATAACATGTTATGACCCATCCATGGTATAACTATTCCATGCATGGGTGGTCCAGGGTAGTAGGGCGGTTTCTGGGTCGCCACACGATACGGGTCGCCAGCTTACGCCACTCACTCTTCGTTACAGGAAGTTGGGAAGTAGCCGGTGTACACCAATGTGTTGGTATATGTTGGTATACCGATGTGTCAACCTGAGCGAAGATTAAACCCCTCAAGCAGTCTTCAATAAAATCAGATTAAATGCAACTTGAATTAAAGTCAATTAACATCACAGATCTTCACAGAATCTCCTCAAGGACTTCACGCGCTTCACAGTGATTCTGCTGCTGATTTAGCACACATGGTGACCAACAAGACCAACAAGACTTCTGGGTTCAGTCACTTCGTCAAATCCCAAGAGACATGCCTTTCATCACGGAAACGAACTGCTGGTTCTCCAGGAGCTGGAAGAGTACTTTTCTCGACACTTGGTAGTGTTTCTGAGGAGTTGTGGTCGACATGACGACGAATATATTCTGCAGACTTTGGCATGTCGAGGTCGATAACAATGGAGAATCATGTGTCATCATTTATCACTTCCATCGAAATCATATGAAACCATTCATGACTTCCACAGAAATCATATGATATCATTCATCAACTGTTGAGTGGTGAGGCTCTAAATTGAACTTAGGATGTTACACACTGCATTGATGGCTTACATGGAATGTAGGTCGAACCGATTTCTTGAGTTCAAACATATGAAGACCAATAGCCATATATCCCTACAAGAAAACCTCATTGAGTAGTGTTTTTGTATCACCAACTCCAGTAAAGTGAGGTCTTTGACCTGTAGGGTATACTTGCTTCTTCATGGAACACTCTTATAGGGGGCGATTTTTTGGAACACCGAGTTGCACACCGCCCAAGCTATATACGTCGGCTATTGTACTTCCTTAAACAGCCCAAAACACCTCCCAGAACTACATGAATCTATATGTTACGGCTCTTATACGACCATTATAATTCCTAGAGCTAGGATTAGCCGACGACCCATCACTCACCACCTGAGGCTTCCCCTTGGTGACGCCCTCCTTCTGCCGCCGCTGGTGGCGCCTCACCGCCGTGGGCGTCCTGCTGGGCCGCGGCACCGCGCTGGGCAGCTTCGCCTATGCCACGGCACTGTGGGGCCAGGTGTGGGGAACGAAGGAACGAAGGGAGGGGCATAGCAGCACCGGTGGGGCAGGGCGGAGAAGGTGAAGGATGGTCTAAAGATGGTCAGCACCAATGTCTTTCACCTTTTCTTATCTTTTTTAGCGCGACGGCGGCGAGCTGAAGAGCAGAATCCACCTATCTATAAACACATCGTCTCCCTTCCTCCAAAAAGCAGTCTGGTTCAGTTCCTGGAGTTGGTACTTGGGATGATAGAAAGATATTACAACATGTCAACATGTTGGACTGAACATAGCCTCTCAGTTGGGTGGACGTGAGTTGGGTGAGGTGCTGGGATACCACATTTGGGACATGCCCGCAGGCCTGGAGGTTTCCTCACAAATTGATACCCTATCAGCCCTATCATCTACCCCTGACATGTTTTGAGACAGGTCAGTCATTGTCCGGCAGAAATCGGCAGAAGTTCAGAAGTTCTAGTGTCGATCCCAGGTTCAGAAATCCCAGGTTGGACTCTGAAACTCAGCTTGGTGATACACTCTCTTCCACTCGCATTAGGGCTTTCTTGATCGACCAGGTCGTCCGGACGACGGGCTTCGCCAGGTCCGAAGGTCGACGTCGACACAAGGGGCGTTTCGATCGACGGCGCCGTGGTGACGGGACATAGGAAACACCACATTGCTGCATTGCTACTCCCCCAAAAAGGAAGAAGGTGCAAGTAAACCAACTAGAACCATCTAGAACCAACGAATTACCCGCCAGAACGACCACTAGCAACAAAGCGAGTTCAACAGCAATCTCCTACCCAGTCTTTCCATGTTTCATTATTTGTGACGATTATCAGCCAGTATTCTCAAAGTTGTTTTTTTTAGACTTCCCCGTCCAACACGACAAACATGGAATTGGAATTTGGGCTTTTTGGAAGACGAGTTTCCACTACACCTCCGGGCAAGGGCCACCAAACAGTTTTCTTGGCTTGCATTTGCTTAGCTTTGCTTCAATCTTATCTCTGGTATTTGAAAACACACTACTGTATTGATGTTTTTTTAAATCCATTTTTTTAAAATAAGTTTCTTGCCATCAGGAGCTTCAAGCTATGCCGGGCGCGGTGCGGAACGGCTTCCAACTTTTTGGTAGCACCTTCTCGTGCCCAGGTAGCATGGATTGCGGAGAGTTAATTAGTTTTCTTGCCTGCAGGATAGAGCAGGAAAGCTGGCTGCCCTGAGAGAACGTCAGAATAATGCCAGGGTCTAGGGTCTCAACTAAGAGCCAAAGTGGGAGCTATATAATGCTAATGCTATATACACATCCTTGGTCACACCCTGTGAACCTCATGGCTTTGGAATCCACCTACAAGACTAAATTTTTAGAGGGGAACCCAGTCGCAAGTTGTGTGAATCTTCCATGCCCGGCTTCAGCATTCCACTAATCTATCATGATGTTTAGCAACCAACCTGGCCATCCAGAGGTACGCTAGCCTCTCTTTATGAAGGTAGACGGAAGCGGAACCTCAGAATGGACAGATCCGACACTGGTGGGAGTGGCAGATGGGCTCAGCATTCCCTCCAAGGTTCCTGCATGTTCCTGCTTTGGGCTTTTTTGGAGTATCCTGCACCACACAGGTATTTGGATGTAGATCCCTTCTACTGAAGGAAAACTTCCCATTTGCCTGGGATTTCCGTGTTCTTTTCTAGGGATCCAGGCAGGTACTGTGAGTTGCCGAGCCCCAAAGAGCCCTGTGAGGCTTCTCTCGGTGCTTTGGTCCCTGCAATTGCTGGCCGACCGCACGGCGGATGCTTGGGTCGTTCTGGGTGGTGATGCAGCGCACTCTCTTTTTACGCGGTGCATATTGAGACCTCATGAACCTGGAGATTTCATATTTCAATCACCCCCGAATGGCCAGTTCGGAAGTGCCATTTCAGCTCCCTTGTTCATCACTTGGTACAACCTGAAAGTGCTTTTGTGCCGAGACTGAACTGGGAACTGGAACGAGTCGTGAAGCGTTTTCAAAGTTCTTGATGTGGTTCAAGACAAGGACTTGCGTGGTTTGTAAACGCTTGTAAACGATGTTCCCAAGTTTTTCCAGTGGTTTGGGGAACTATGCCAATTGGTTACTCTGCCCTACATCCCCAGGAGCAAAAAATGCTCCTGTATAGATTGATACGTGCTTGTTCAACCAAGGACATCTATACCTTGCAGAGACAAAGCGAATCACTGCGAAGTCTATAAGGGTCTGTAGCCAATGGTGTCTTCATGTGGAACAGACTGGAGTTGTTTGCCCGCGAGCAGCGCTGGGCTTACGATACACCGTAGCCAATGGACTCCCCAGGAGTCTGATGGCCCAAAAAATCTTGGCACAGCGCCTACCACAGACGGACTCGCATTATGACTCGCACGGACGCAAGCCAGTTCGGAGCCAGTTCGGCTGTGGCGTCTTTCGGATCTCCGTCCCGTCCTCAACGGCTGGCCTGGCCACCTGTGGAGATTCCCTCGTCTTGGGCCACAGATCCAGTCACAGATATGGTCACGGCTACGTGGGAAGATCGTCAAGTCTTGATGATAGGAACATCTAACAGTAACACCTGAAGATCGTTCGCAAGGTCTCCAATAATCACATTGTCTAGCTTCATCTTCCTGCTCTTGTATGGTCTTCCTGCTCTTCGATTGACTATGGATGACTATGGCTTTCCTGGTCGTTTTTCCAAGATTGACATGGCTGATAGCGGCTTGCCTTGTGCGGAAGAGGGGGGTTGGGTCTGGCAGAGAAGGAAGAAACAACATTCATGGCCATGGCAAGGTTGCTCAATGAGGTGTTCTCACAATGAGAGCCTGCCCAACCAACTGGTGACAGAGTGTTCTTTCTACCTGCAATTGGAGACAAATCAATTATGCCTCAGTACGTCACGGCTACGATGCTTTTTTTGAGACCCGGACAAGTGGAGACACAAGGAACATTTGATTGTTGAGGCGCTCTTACATTTACAAGTCAGGGCTTTTAGGTCAATCAGGCCCATTACTGCGAGTGTTAGAAGAGGTGTGAGCCTCTTCTTCAAGGCTTTCACTGTCAAACCCAATCCCACTTGTCCATGCCGACTCAATGCCGCCACCACCGAGGCCCTGCCGTTCTTCGCACATCAGGCTGCCCGTTCTAAAGCTCAGCGCGGCCAGCGAGTGCGAGGAAAAAAAACATGTGCTGGGCGAGCTGGGGCTGTCGGGAGTTCATAAGCTGCATGAGAATGCCTTGGATTGGCACGCACAGAAAACAACAGCATCTTCAAATCCTGAGGTCAACATACAGATTAAACTTATAATTACATGTTTAGAATCAATTGAAGACATGAAGAGACCATTTTAGACCTATCCCCTGCAACAGTTCCCAAGGATTCAGAAAAGAGTCCCTTGTTGCAAGCTTGCAAGCATGGTTTAAGTCTATATACTTATTGCCTTGCATAGGGGACATCGCTTTACAAACCGGCCATTGCTTCGTGCACCGCGGTCCCTCACCAGGTGTCCTCGCCATCGGTCCCTCGAGTGCAGCGGCTTGCTGAGCCGGCAGGTCCGTTTTTGTTGCATCCGAACATGGTGTAGCTGTGGTTCGTGGAGTGAAACATGGTACAGGCATGGTTCAAACAAAACGTTGCATCGTTTTTGTTTCAGCTATTGCAGGAATTATATTGCATGTAGTCGATTATTGGTTTGTATATGATCTTGTATATGATCTGTGTTTCTGGTATATTTTTATTCTAGATTCTAGTTTTTTTTTTTTTCAATGGGTCTGCAAACAGAACATGTAGATGGTGGACATGCTGGGGCCTCAGGTATCCTTAATCCCAAGAAGATGTCGTTGTTTGGATTTGTTGTGGGCGAAAAATTGTAGCTGACCAGGCGATCCAGACATCGGGTCATTAGCATGTTCCAAAAGATGAAGACTTGCAGGTCAAATTCATCCACGATACTACATCATGCGTGCGACTGTTGTGAATTCCTAATGTTCGGAAGTAAACAATTATATATACGGTATATAGTGTTCTAGACAAAGTACAAAGTTACATACTGTTCTAGACAATTTACTTACAGTCTATATAGAGTCATGTTTTTTGTGTTTTTGCTGTACAACTTGCTAGTTCCGTAGCATGGTCCATCAGGACCATGTTGGATGGTCCATCAAGACCCTTTTTCACCCACTCAGTTACCCCGCACGTGACGAAGGTGCTCTCGCACGTTACGAAGCTCCGTGACAGGAAAACCCTCGAAATCCTCGTTCTCACTGACCACCTTCGAAGACACTGAAGAGAACTCCAAGAGACGCTGCCGTCGCCCGCGGGGATTCGCGACGGTGCGCGGGCGACGGTTCGGGCGTCTTTTGGTTATTGCAGTCGTTTGGTGGGGGGGTCATTGCCTGGCCGCGGGCGAATGCCTATGGCAAGCAGAAGAGGAAAAGAGAGGTGGGTCATTGGCTTTTGGAGACAGGTTTTACATGTACCCACCACGAAATGCAGTCGACGAACAGGAGTGATCAGGTGAGGCAAGCAGTTTGTCTCCAGGTCAAAAGAACGGCCTGCTGGGGAGATCATGAAAGGCATTAAGGCGTTTATCCTCCGTGTGTTGGAAGCTTTCTCCGAGCTAACGATTATATATGTGATGTGAGCAAACGAACGCAACCTGCTCCCAGAAAGAAACAGTAAGCAGACATAGGCAGTTACAATACCGAACACGGTATGACTTGGAAGGCTTCCACTTCCAATTGCGGCATTTTTGAACGATGGTGTGTGGACCTTGGATGCGGCATGGCACCCAGTTGCGAAAGACATGTTCAGGAGCGCCTCCATTGTCTTCTACTTCGTCTTGGGCTTGCTCTTCCCGCTCTTGGGAGGTGGAGACTGTCGTTGGTTCCGGCTTTAGAGTGGCGATAACTAGCCTTCCAAGGGCATTAAACGACATGAAAAAAGGGTTGGCCTGGTTTTGACAGCTCAATCAATGGCTGGAAGAGGTTGGAAGCCTATTAGCTTAGAGACCGTCCGGAACTTCCATTGCTGGAAGTATTGCTTTCTCCACCTCCGGCCCCCACGTGGAAGTGGAGATGACTAAACCTCCTCTTTATGCTCGGAGATCGATCCTCGTTTTGGTCCAGTTCTGTGCGTCGAAGGGCCTCAGACAGATCATCGCATGGGAACGGATGGCTTTCACTAGAGGCTCCTTTTGTGTGGGGCATGTCTGATGGAAAGTCTTGACTTAGACCTTGATAGCGATTGAAAGCTCCTATAACTAACTAATATATATATATATATTTATAGTAGTCATATGTATAGCAATTTATACTGTACCTGTGTAATTAGATCTTTTGCTTGTAGCACCAGCAACACCAGTCACTCTTGATCTATCTTTTTGTTCCCAAACATCGTGGGCCACTGCTGCTTGTCCCCATCCCGGCGCTGCTTGGAACAGAGCGACGAGCCGCTCCGCAAAAGCCAGGCTTCAACCTCGGGATCTTGTTGGCTGCCCTAGGCGCGCTGAGCTTTACGAATGCGCCCACAAACGAGAACGATGTCTGAAAATCTCGGTCAACCCGGATTCCGCTCGGGTCATTGGATGAAGCGGTAGAAGACTCGGTGGGAAGATCCATGGAAGTGGGAGCAGATTTTATTGTGTGTGTGTTTTTTTTTAAATATGGTGAAGATGTATGGAGTCGGTGGTAAGTAATCGTGCGGACGGACACCATCTTTAGTTACTAGATGATTATGACACTTTTGAGTCAAAGAATCTGGAAGGAACATGGGCGACCATGCCAGGACAAAAGCAATGCCATATGGCTGCCATGACCCAATGGCATCGGGGAACCCGGACAGAGCCAACCTGGAAGATGAACAGAATGGACGACCTGGGAGGTCAACGTACCAGGGGGGTTTAAACCTAGAGCGATCTTGGGAGAGATGTATTCCGAATGGGCTCACCCGATCTGGCCGAATCGTCTCCATCGCAGGATATGGCCTCTCCTTTGGTGGCATTGTTGGCTTTGCCAAGAAGCCGCTTGGATGAAGACGGGGGGTTTGGGCAGCTGCAGCTGCAGGGGGAGATCGAGGGGAGGTGAGTGAAGACAGGCACTTATTTGTTGAGCACCAAGGGGGAGCTTTTAGATAGCCAATTGATACTTGATATTTTATGTTATTTGTCCCTATTTCCAAGGGCATGCGAGTGGGGCGTTGTGTCAAGTTGATGTGCGACATACCCATTGTGGTTGATGGGACCAGAACCCCAGACTCACCTGCATGTGTACCAAAGACTTGTCCTCTCAAGATGGGCCAGGCCTAGATGCTGCCGGGGATGCTTTGTACTAGTGTGTCTCTCATACCAGGAACTTTACATATAGGATCATAAATAGGATCAGATCAGGCTGAGAATAGGTGATGAAATGCTCAAAGACTCCAGACGTGAACCCTGAAGCCGAGGAACGAGACCCTGAAGCCGTGCGCCCGGCGACAAAAACGCGACCACTGCGTCGCATGCGTCGCCAGTTCACCTTTCACGCCGCTTCCTGAACGACGAACGCCTGAGACAAGCATCAGATCAACCTGGATCACATGCTACAGCTGGAAGACCTCACACCCTTGATGTCTTTCAATTATTAGTGTATTGTGCTTGTTTCCACTTGCAAGATTGGACCTATTATAAGTGTACATGTTCTTCAATCAAGAAACATCTCGCCTCAATTGGTGGCGCTTTGCCATTGACAAACCAGCTTTTCATGAATCCGTTCTCCTAAGTAGGATGGCCGGCACCCCACCGTTTCACTACGAAATCCGGTCGGTCCTCCCATGCCCATGTGCCACAGAAGTTGCGTTGGATTCATGACGAGGTACACCAGCAGCATTGAGGATGTGGGCGCGGCGGGTGTGAAAGCCGGCGGGTGTGGAGTCCCGGACGTTGGTTGCACTGGGGGATGCAGGGTGCAGGCAGTGAATGTGATGTGTTTGAGACCGCCCTCCAAAAAGAGCAGAGTTTTGTCATGTTTTTGCCAGCGGGCTGAGAACCCACAGTTCAAGATTGACGACCTTCGAAACGCGATGTCAGCCCGGCGGGATGTTTTTGTCGTCCCCAAGAAGTCTCATAGTCTTATAGCCTCACGGCCAATGTTTCCAGTGAAACTGACATGTTAAATAGGTCGGATGCAACTGATCCCCCAAACATCCAACGAATTGCCACACGGATTCTTCGGCCGCACAAGCTGAGGTACGCCCTCAAGGTGCGGCAGCCGCAGGGATTCTGCCGTCGATCGGTTTGGGTCGTTGGACTAGACCTGTGGACTGTCGAACTTTTAGATACCTGCAAGCCACAGGGAAAGTAGCTTTAAACTGACAGGGGGTCATCTCACCATCGCTTTGAAAACTGTACTTTTGGATTCCCTTTAGGTTTGTGACATTGTTTGAAGCAAAGTCGGCAAAGAGCAACGGTTATTTCCGCTTGCCTGGCATTGGTTTGTTGCAGAGCAACATTTGATGCGTTCTGTCGTCCAGGTTGTTTAGGAAGAACTCCGAGCAGTTTCTATAAGTCTTGAAGGACTGCTGTTTTTTCTTACAACTTCCCCGGCATCGAATACACGAATTTCTGCTTAAAAGAAAGAAAAACGACACGACCTGTTTGGGACTGCCATATAAATTGACTGATCAGTTTGGAGGCAGTGGTTGACCTGAGGGGGGGTGAACGTATAATGTATATAGGCATATAATGCCACAAAGTTGAACTTAGTGACCTACCTTTCGTCCACCCCCTCCCACAGGGGTTATATGCCACACTCCCATGGAGTGTTTGGGTATTGGTAATGCTCCTTGACATCACCTAATAATCAGCTGGTAATGGTAATGGTAATGCTCCTGGGTAATGGCAATGGTAATGGTAATGCTGCAACGGCTCCTGCCGTTTGACATGTCAGGCCTACAACTTCGCAGCCGCCGGGCCCTCGGGTGTGCTGTCCTGCTCCGGTTCGGCTGCGTGCGGTCCTGCGTGCGGCTGGGAGGTCGTGGGGAGGTTGGGGAGAACGACGCCCCCCAAAGTCAACAGGTCTTGCACGACCCGTGCGGCAAGTCCCAAGGAAAAGCATGTTGGTTTCGACAAACGGTGGTGTTTTGTTGCGGGAAGTGGGAAGGAGGTGCTTCGTGGGACCCAGCCTGCTTCGGGGTTGCGTGGACTAAGGGGTGGGATCGGTCGCAGCGTCGTGTTTTCGGTGACTCCTCCACCGGTCTGCAGTGCTTGTGGAGGTGGTGAAACACGTCCCAGGCACGACCAGAGGAACACAACGAAAACCAGCGAAATCCACCCACATACGCCCCCATGAAATGCCAAACCTGCAGCCATAGGTGAGTAGTCTGGTGGATCGGATCAATGGACTGAACCGTCAATCAACCACCCCCTAGCTCAATAGGCCAGTCCGGAGTCTGACCGGGTGTTGCCAACCCGGCAGACTAAACATGGACACCGGGTTTTAAAAAAGGCATCATCCAGGTGAACGGGAAATGGCAAGCTCCCATCGGTGTGTATACTGGATTGTATCTATCCCAGACACTCCATCTATGAGATAGTCAATACATGTCAATAATAGTTACCTACATGAGGGTTGTAAATGGGGTATATAAATGCATTAACTGTTCCATATGTGTTTGACATTTTCGCTATATACCTTCCTTATGTTTGGGTATTTTTGTTTAGGCTTCGATCAGGGCAGCTCTTCCTTGCCGTGCGCGCCGAAGACACATAGAAGAGTCCGAAGAGTCTAGAGCTTTTGAGCCAGTACACCAGTTGTGTAACTCGTTTTGCCGTAACATGACTGCCTGTGCCGATGACAGCTTTGGAAATGAATGAAGTCTGACTAGTCTCCCTAGCTATCATCCCTTTCTTTGCTGAGGAGAAGGTGAACGGATACCTTTGAGGAGCCGGGGTGAAGTTCAGCGCAAGTCTGGCATCATGGAAACGATCATTTTAAGAATCGTTCTGTCACTCTTGTATTGTCCAAGGTGGTGTTCTAGATTGTTAATAATGATAATGAATGCATATTGCCACTTGTATAGTGCCACATCCCCCCCTTTCAGATGTCATTTACAACGGAGCCCTCAACGGGGCCCCCAACACCATGGTAGGTTAAGCGACCGACTGACACCGGGGTAGGTTAAGCGTTCGGTTTGGTGCCATGACTCACAGCACCACATAGATCCGGCCTTTTCCATCCACAAGACGACCTACCAGGCCGCTCAGGCAGCGGAGTAAGGGGAGCAGTTCAGACGTCTGGGCTACGATCACAAGGGCTATATCTCTCCAGTTGAAGGGAAACTTGACAAACGACTCCGAGATACTCCAAGACTTGATGGTGTCTTCTTGTTTTGAGAGAATTGAGAATTGTTCTGTGAAAACCCAACATAAGAGTCAGTAGGATCTGGTGATCTTCCCAACTAAAACCAGTCTCGGGAGGTGGAGGCACCGAGGCACCTGTTCCTTCCAATCCCCCGTTTCCTGGAACAGCACAGGAGCCCCCGAGTTTCGAATCTCTTGAAATGAATGAATTTGGCTGATCCGAGAATGGGTCTCAGCTATAGAATCTGGGGCAATGGCCACAAACTTGCCATCCAACCTGAAGAAAGCTCTTAATTGTTGCTCTTATTATGTTTTATTACAATATGAAACGGTGAGTTATTCATATATATATATATGTTGTTTAATGCCTGCTCGATTTTTTTGACAAGGACACACTGTCATCCTCATACAACATATCGTCATAGCTATATATTTGTAGATTATGATATATCAAAGTGGTTTCTGAAACCACAAGTTGGGATGCAGAATGGCCTGGCCAGAAGCCATGCAAGATGTGCTTGGCTGCCCCGGACGAATTTTGTAAATATGAAGTTCAGGCACAGATTAGTTCCCCTGGCCACGAGGAAAAAGCGTTGCAGTTGTCCAAGGCATGTCGAATCTCCAGTTGTTGGACGACTCCAGTTGGTGGACGACATACTCCAGCGAATTCAGTCCAGATGAATGTTGTCGACAAATTCTTTATATAATTCTCTTTAAACTGCAAGCTTGTTGAGGTGCCGATACATGGCTTAACCTGTTGGCCCGACAAGCATCTGGACACAATCCCAACTATTTCCATCAGTGTCGCTTCGTCTTCGTTGTTACTCTCCCTGGAACTAACATGGTTCCGTGGAGTGAAGAAGACCTGTTTGGTCTTCGGATTTCACTCTATGGTCTTCCAAGAGGAGGTGTGACCTCCATGTTCGTTCCATGTGTCCTTGTGTCAATGGACGGTGCATGCATCCGCCCGAATCGTTCGTTTGGGGCTCCCAGCGGGCGCCGCCTTTGGACGCGACGTCGGGCCGACCGGACCAATGAGCGGCGGCCGTTGAGGTGGGGGTTCGGAGCCGGGGGGTTCCGTCCTCCGGGGCGGGAAGCAATGGTCAGCTGGCGGTGAAGATCTGACGAAGAAATGGTAGAGTGCAACCAGCTCTTGTTCTGCTGTAGCAGTCGTAGAGTGGGGTCCTGAAATTGGCGTGGATCATAGTCATAGGGCAGCGATCCCTGCTTCAAAGTACCTCCTTCCCTCAAGTACTGAAAGAAACAGGTCCTCCAAAGATTCATTCTTTCACACCGGGTCAAGGCATTCCGGAATGATTGGAGGCTGCTCAAAGGACCTAGAGATTCATAGCGAAGGTGCTAAGGAGCTGAGACCAACAGATCTCTTTGCTTCAGAGCCTAGGCCTAGAGGTTCCCACTCTGAAGAGGCTGTAGGGAAGTGCGAAAACGTTGGCAGAGAGCCATGCTACTGGGTGACCTACAGCATCCGAAGACTTGTGCGAATGTCCATAGGTGTTTTGTTTCCTATTTTTTCCCCCTTCTTCTGCTGTGAACGGACATATGTTGTTTCTGGTAGTTACCGTGCTTTGGAACACCGCAGTCTGTTCAGCCTCCGACTTTTGCCAGGAAAGCATGGGGTGTCAGCATCTTTGGCAGCAGGAGTTGCTTGGACGCACGAGTCGGCTCTCGACCGACAGCCACTAGGCCTCAAGGTGATCCGCTTTTTGGTTGATCACCTGTGAAAAGACCAGGAGTGGGCTCCAACGCACTTGTTGCCTCTGGGAGGCACGTTCTCCGAAACATGGATTGGCGATGATTCTTTTAGCCTGGTTGCATCATCCTCGTTCGGGGCCCACTAAGTTGTCTTGAGAACTTCCTGAATACATTATGTGAAGCCCTTAGCGATACATAATTGCCAAGGTGATTTGACACCTGAATCCGTGACCTCCTCTTTTGACGCTCAAAGAAGGGTCATGTATGTCGCATGCATTGCCTAGCATCGCCTGATCATTCTCTGGACTGAAGGACTCACCTCTTTGTTGTTCAAGCCCCCAAGGAAGTGCGACAGATGCAAAGCCGGGTTTGGAAGGGTCCAAGACCGTGGTGCACAGATACCACTCACGTTCTATGGAGGCATGCTTTATCACTGTCGGGTCGTTGAAAGCTAGTTTTCCCAGGGGGCCGGCCATCATTGTTTGGGTGGTGGTTTCAGATATGTTTATGTTTATGTTCAACATTTATGTGAGATGATTCATCCCTTTGACTCCGATTTTGGTCGAAACCGGTTTCGTTGAAACCACCCAATACGCAGTTTCCACGGAACCACCCAAAGAAGAATAAACACCTTTCCTGTGCGTGAATCGGTGAAGAGTCTTAGACCAGAGGCCGATGCCGGTCAGCTCAGGCATCAAGATTGCCCCTATGGCTTTGCCCTGCACGGCTCGCTTGGTCGATGCGTCTTGGGGTGGAGCGTTTGGGACGACTGGTCTCAAGGCAAGGTGGGAACCAGAACTCCGGTCAAAAGCAAAACGGTGAACATTCCAGAATAAAGAGTGTCATATATATATATATGTGTGTATATATATATATATGAGTACTTAGTATTCATATCATGGTATATTCACTACTCAGGCCGACTGTGTGGTTGTGGGGTATTTTGTGCTTATATAGTAAGTTTTTACAACATGTTTTATTTGCTTTGGAACGTCTCTTCTGATGCAACCGGATTGCCTTGTTGTCACTTTCCCTGGAGATTGCCTAGAACAGGGATGCCGTTCAATGCCCACAGCCACAGAGAATCTAAGTTAAGGATCCCGAACATTCCTGAGGATAGTATGTTATCCATGTGTGTATTGTCTAATTGTTTTCCTGGCAACAAAAGATCGGTGGTTGGTGGTCGGGAAGAACTGGAATTGTTTGGAGAGGATTGGACCCGGTAGCTGGCTTTGCTGTACATAAAGCGAAGTGCTCAAAGCCACTTTGGGTGGTACTCTCCGCGTATTTATATAACATGGAAGTGCAACAACACCTGTTTGTAGATGGAAACTTCATAAAACTCACTATCAGGTTTTAGTAGTTGAACCTTGTTGTTGTTGAAAGGATGGTGTGAAAAGATGCAAATAGCGTCAGATGTTCTTTCATAATATGCCATGCCTATTCCTCATGTCCAGCCTCAAGTTCACCAAAGGTGATCTGAGCCACACACAGAGAAAAACATGTGAGAAGCACTGTTTGGACTCTGCACCACACAAGCACACACCAGCATGTGCAGACTTCCAACAAGCAGCATGTGAAGAAGACAGCAACACTTGCTCCTGGTTCACTGGTGGACCCACTCCGTTTTCCAGCCAATGATTGGTGCGGTGCATTTGGTGAGCCTCCTGCATTGAGTCAGCCATTGAAGCTGGCATTGCTGTGCGGTGCCGTGGGCAGCTTGGAGCACCTCTTGAAGCAGAATGGCGTTGCTTTCAAGGCAGTGCCATTTTGCGACATCTGTGAGTGGCTGGCAAAGCGACGACGCTGAAGATGTGCGTTTTGATCCTGCCGGAGATTCGTGGCCGCTATATTTTTCTCGGCTGACCCAATCATCGATGTTCATTCCGGGACTGTGGGTTGCAGTTGAGGGCTCTCCTTTGAGCATTGCAGGACTCCCCAATTCCCAGCCAAAAGTGGTTCCGGCGGCTTTGCACCTGTGTCTCGGCCTTGGTTCCACTCCGGTGGCATCGTGCCTGTGTCTTGGGCATTGGGTCCACTCAGGTGGCTTTGCACCTGTGTCTTGGTGCCTTGGGTCTGCTCCGGCGGCTTTCTCTTCGTTCCGCTCCGGCGGCTTTGTGCCTGTCTTTGCGCCTGGCATGGATCCAAAGGGAGTACACTCCGTGAAGAAATCATGGAAGTGGGCAGCAAGCTCCTAAAAACAGTTTTCCATTACAGGGCTGAGTGGGACCTTATGGTAGTGGAGGGGTTTTCTAAGAATGCCGGGGAATGTGATAGAAAATACATGAAAATGCCAGCACCCCTTCCCACCATCAGTGCACCCTTTCCAGTCGTTCCCATAGTCAGTCAATCGGCCGGGGATGGACGGAAGGCCGAATCTCCCCCAAAAAGAACGAAGGTGCAACAAGGATGCCAAAAGCCCTCGAGGTGTCTCCGCACCCAAGACACAGGCCAAAAGCCGCCGGAGCGGACCCAATTGGCACCAGCACACAGGCACAAAGCCACCAGAGCGGCGCGCGCGAAGACAGCCGCCGAAGCGGACCCAAGGCACCAAGACATAGGTGCAAAGCCACCTGAGTGGACCCAAGGCACCAAAACACAGCCACAAAGCCACCGGAGCGGACCCGGGGCACCAAGACACAGGCACAAAGCCACCGGAGTGCCACATGGCGCATCTTCCACAGATCAAGTGCAACAACATAGCTGTTTTGTTTGAGAGACACATACATATTCACAAACAAACATCCAACCCCTGCAAAAAACACGGAAGACGATAAGTCATGTCCTCTCAACCTTTTGGAATACTTCCGTACCAGACCATCCATATATAGAATTGTCACATACACTTTCCCCATCCAAATAACCCATCCTTGTATCTATTCCAGTCCCATTCGCCTGGTCCAATCGTCAAGCCTCCACGACTGCCAGCGACCGATCTCGCCAGAAGCTGCCCTTCGACGTCACCTGGCCTGATGCAGCCAAAGCGCACAGGCCTCCCTCGCGGTGACCAGTGGGACCCTTGGGACCCTCACGGTATCCCCACCGGAAGATCCTCACCGGACTCAGCGACCGATCGACCGGACTTAACGACTGGTCGTGATCGAGTCATCGTCGCACGTCGAACGCCGGTCCAAAGCTGTTGTAGATGTCGCGGTGGAACCACGAATCTTTTGGTGGGAGTGTTTGTTTGTCTACAAGCTCACACAACGTTTCAAAGTTCTGCAAGTTCAGCACATTTTTGCCCGGCCGGCATTGCTCCATTTCCGCAGGATTTTCGTACGTTTTGGCCCACCTTTCCCCAGGAACCCCCACCGCTTTTCGATCTCCACCGGTCCCCATCGGTTCTTCTCACCGGTGCTCTACCCGCGCAGCTACGGCCTCCCGGCGGACGAGTCCAGCGAGGTCTGGATCTTCGTGAACGTGTCTCGGAGAGCGATCGGGTGCTTTTGGCGACGGCCGTCGACGGTGGAGACCAGACCGAATGGGACTAAGGAATTATATATAGCGCAGCTATATGGAGGGGTGGACTGGAAGAGTGACTCACATGGATGGGTCACTTATATACATGTGGTAAAGGTACTGTTTAATCTGTGCAACTCTTCCAGTTGCATGGATGGTCTAATGTGGACACCCTGCAAGCAAAAGCTTGAAACGCCCTGCGCGGCCAGCATCATGTAGTGTGGTGAAGCATGTTTTGGTCTGTCTGAGTAGATGAGGTATTATGCGCTTGATCTTTGACACTGCCCCCTGAATCATGGGACTCGTGTTGCGTTTAATGAAGCCCTGTGGCCCATGGCTTCTGGGTCCCCTACAAGGTTGGTGCTGCCGTTTTGCAGCAGTCCTGTCATGGCCACGCTGTCGTATGTACATTGGCAGCATTGACGGCAGCATTGGCCAAAAACCAACACCTGCAGCCGCCTGGCTATTCCCCTTTACACTCTACCCGGTTGAATAGACATGGTTCAACATCGCCAATAGCATACACAATTGTCCTTGGCCCTCTTCCTTTTTCCACGGTAGAACTTGCATTTATAGACAATACGAACATACTACTTATATATTATGCGTACATACTTTTGGAACCCTCGGCAGGAGACCTCCAGCATTAAAACACGATCTTGCCATATTTGGCCTTTATTTTTGGGTGACATCTAGTCAAAAGACAGCACCAACTGTCTTGCAACTGAGACTTTGATGATTAGGCCTGATTCAAGCAAACAAACATTCCTCCTTCGATCTGAGGTTTTGTACAGCTACGTTCCTTGCTTGCATTTGGATTTCGATTTCGCCTTACTTTTGAGCTGATCAGGGAATTGAATGGACATCCCTCTTGAGCTGATGAAGGAATCACAACACTGATTAGGGAATCACTCCCTCATCCGTCGTGATCGTTGGAATTCGTTGGACAAAGAAAGTTCCGGCCACCCTTTCGACCCTAAGAGGGGAGGTCAAAATCCTCCCATCCTCCCATCCTTTCCCCCATCTTGTATTGCCCAAACTTTGCGAATGCGTTTCTTTTTCTCAAAATTGACATTGCACCATACAGTGACACGGTTTCTGTGTTCAATCATGTGATATTGCGATATAGACAGTTTTTTTCAATCAGCCGAACAGTTTTTCCAGGTTGTTTTTGTCGTCTAGCAAACTTGTCATCGGATAGAAATGGTTCCAATGGTCCTCTCAACAACCCTGCAGCCCTGAAACAGGTTCCTTTAACCGTCTTGGTGGTGCACATGCTACGCTTGATCGCCGGGCAGCCCAGCCACACCCAGGCAATAGCAAATGAGACTGGCATGATTTACCGACCGTTGGGGTGGTTGAAAAGGATTGAAAAAGGGTCTTACAAGTATTCCATATATGGATTGTTGGGTACCGAATCATCTCATGGATATTCAGACTTACTGTGTGTATACCATTTTGCACATCTTTGATATACGCGGGCTTGCTTGAGACATCTTGAGGCTGACCCGCAGAAATCCAGATCTACCAAGTGTTCTCCACCGAAAAACACCATAAAAGATCGTAAAAGACCCGTTGAACAACCTGGTTCACCACACACTGACTGCAGCCATACTGGTTCTCCTTCCGACTCGAACTCGATGCTCAGGTGGTGCGCGGCAGTCGGGAGCTTTGCATCGCCTCGGTGCTGGCGCGTCCGGTGAGGGAGTGGTGGAAGCGAGGACGTCCGGTGGTTTGTTTGATGGATTTTGTTGTAACAAAGATAGGGGAAGGAGGCGGAATGGTACTTTCTAAGAAGGACGGGGCGTTCTACTACGGGGCGGGACTGCCGAAGGAAGCGAGAGTGTGACTGGGGCCCCTGGATTGTTGGGTCTCCCGATTTTGGGCGCAGGATGCATGGAAATGGAACTTGTTGGCCCTACATGCGGGCGAGCTGTCGCTTGTACACTTGAAATTTGGGTCGCTTGTGCACTTGAAATTATGGTCGCTTGTACACTTGGCATTTGAGCACTGTCCGAACATGTCGTCACCAAATGCTTTAGGTTGGTCGGTTGACCCTGTCCAACTTGGCAACTTTTTCAGCACTTCTGAGTCACTTTATATGGTTGGCAACTGCAACCCCCCCCCACCCCACCCCCCACCCCAACCCACTCATTATAGTTTGCGCGCGCAAGTGAGTTTGTATGGCAGAAGTATGCTTTGAAAGGCAATCAAAACGTGAGTGCGTGTGTGTGTGTGTGTGTGTGTGTAAAGATGTTGACCTTGTCCAACTTGGCAACCTTTTCAGCAGTTCAGAGTCCCTTTGTATGGTTGGCAACTGCAACCCCCCCCCACCCCAACCCATTCACTAGTTCATTGTGGAGTAGGCACCACCCGTTGCTAGGAAGCAGGTAAGTGCGCCAGTGACCTAAATTTTTGATGCCAAGTGCGCAAGTGACCCAAAGTGCGCAAGTGACCGAAATTCCCAGTGCGCAAGTGACTGCCCGGCCCTACATGCGATCAACATGCTCCCCACCAAATGCGTTACAGTGTTGTCCTTGAATCTCAAATCTGATTACTATGGAAGGTGAGGAATTGGAGAGGTTTAATGAGATGTTCCGAGAAACTGAGAAAAGAGTACCACCCCACCCTCTACGACCCCTCTGTACCAGGTCCACAAGCCACACTTTTTGAGGGGCAAAAGGCTCATCCCGGACCATTGGTATGGAATATTCACCTATATTGACCCCTTTTCATCCCGTTTCAACACGTTTCAATCACCCCCAACTGCAGGTTGTTTTTTTTGCCAGTTCCATGGAGTGTTTGGGACCTGAACTGGAAGTCAAACAAACATTCGCAGACCAGACGAATGGGACTAGAAGAGTCATGCCACTATGGATGGGTCAGAGATGGGATATATGTATGTATATATATATGGTGGGATCAATGTATGTAACTGTTCTAGTCCCATAGGAACCATGTATGAACAGTGACTATACCATACTATACCGTCACTGACTAATCCTAGCCCGGGACTAGAAGAGTTACCATGACTTTCTCGTCCCATCGGGCCAGCCGACGTGACTTCTTCGGTGTTTCACTGAAGTCTCGTTCCTCCATCACTCTCTCGTTCCTTCCGCGCCAAAGCCGCGCCGCTGGGCTGGTCCGGTGTTTGTGCTGAGTTTAGGGCGGCTGGGTTCTGAACGTTCCCCAGATTCATCAGTTCACCCATCTTGGGTTGCGAAATCAACTAGAACTCATGGAACCCATCGAGTGCCGGCGGCAGATCTTTACTTTTGTGCTGAACGAGCTCATTTTAAAGCAGGTCTTTCGCACGGCGCCCAGTGGGATTTGGGGTGATGGTGCCACTCGACTGGAAGAAGAAGGATCGAATCTCTCAAAATCGTCTCATGCGTTGCTACATGCGACTCTACTTGATGTTGTCATAGAGTGGCTTCTGGACTTGTACTCTAGGGGCACTAGGCTAGTATGCAATGAACTTAAAGATAGGTGTGGGCAAATGTAGTGAACATCATCCTCATCAAGAACTACTTGTACCAAGTGCTCCAAACTAGTCGAGACTGTGCCAGAGTGCACAGAGCCATTCTGCACATCATCCAGATTTACCTCATCATGGCGCTCATGACGTTTGGGCTACCTTGCTACGAGAACCAGGCACCGTTTTGGTTGCTGCCTATGACCCGGCACATGTCGACCGCAGCCCACAGGGGCGACCACCGCCCGCCGTTAGAGCGAAAGGGCGGTTTGCGTCGGCCGCTGGGCCAACTGGACGTTTCCGTTGAGAGAGAAGACAGAATATATACAACCCTGTATAGAAGTCCTTTTGCCACGAAGAAAGGTGGTGCGTGGGCATCCGACTTGCAGGTAGAAATCCCAACTCCTCAATTGGGTGAGACTCGCTGCGGCGGTGCTTGACGGGTCCGGCGAAACCCGCGTTCGCTGCCAGAGAAACTCTTGGTCCCCAGAGCCCGGAACGGGATGGTCGGATGATGTCGGATGGATCTCGGTTTTCTGCAGACCTCTCAAGCAGGAGCAAAACCCTTTGATCTGGTATTTGCATCAGTCATCACAGACTGTGTCACAGATCTTGATCCAGCGGCTGCTGCAGTGTTGCTACAGTTGGATTCGTATGCAAGGCCCTTAGAGATCATTGGGGTCAACTGAGAGGCTGGTACTGAACATTATGCAACATGTGGTAAGGAATTGCATCGTTATATGAGTTATGACATCGGTGGATGGTGACCGAGTCACGAACAACCGGGTTTGGATAACACTCAATCAACTCGGTTGGTTACGAGAACTTCTTGGATCGAGATATCGTGGATGAGCCAAGTCGTCTCAGTTCAGGACACTTGGACCTTGGCTCATCCGGATCTGACCTTGGAACGTTATGAAGCTGCCGAAACCGCCGTGTTTCACGGCTCTCGTCACTCGTCTCTAATTGAGTCATGTTCAACTGGACCCCTCACGCATTACGTCAAAAGCTGCGCCTTCGTCTAACATTCTCTGTCGAATCCCCCGCGTCATGCACGAGATCCAGTGCTGGCGCTGGACATTCGGATCCCACGACGAAGTAAACCGGATGATCCCAACAATTCACCTAGTGCTCGATGGCAGGACTGTGTGCATCCAAGCATAGCAACAGACAAACCACTGCAGCAGAAAAGGTTGGGCGTGTTTGAAGAGACAATGTGTGTGTATACATCCACTAGTCTGACAGTTTGAGTACCCTACTGCCCGCCCTACGGTTGGTCTTGCAACATCTTTTCGTTTCTCGACATCGACAAGTCTCACCCTCCCTCATTCAGTCGTGCCCTACACAGCCCAGTCTCCACACCCTCGACCGATCCTCGCGCTACGCGATCCGCGACCGTTTGCGGAGGACATCCGCGACCGGAAGAGTCGTGTTGCACGAGTTGCGGCATGCCATCCAGCCACTCCGTTGGGGATCCTCAGTGAGACTGGAGGCGCGAGGTGAGTCATAAATCAGAGGTGCTCCAGCAGCAATGGCACAGGAGGGCGTCAGGTCACCTTATTTTAGATATACTAAATATATATATATATGTTCAGATGGAAGACATCCAGCAAGACTGCTGTTTTCTAAGCAATCTTTAGGCTGTAGTTCTACATACTTTGGTTTGGAGCTTCTCGGAGCACCAAGCCAATGACATTCCCTTCATATATGTGCTTTGGGGACAAGCCTAGGACTGTCATGCGTCTTGGGTCCAAAAAGCTGCACATACTCCGGTGTGCTTTTCAGAACAATATCAATATCTATGAATCACTCCGAGGTGCTTTGGTACGTTGGTAGAAGAGATGCGTACGTTGTATACATATTGTTGAGTTTGAGGGCATTGTGTTTGGGAACCTAGCCAGTTGAACCAGCAACACCGGCAGCAACTACAACGGCCGCAACCACCACAATTACAATGACATCAACAACAGCGACAACACCCACTTCAATGTCAGCAGCAGCAGCAACAACAACAACTGCACCTGTGCAAGTGTTGGTTGGGTTTGCTCATGGACCTTGTACTTCTGAATCCCTATATACATACTATTATATACTTATAAAATCATATATATATATATATGATCGAGGGTCCTTTAGGTATCATTTCGTAAAAAGAAACAAACACAAATGATTTAATTTTCAATTCAAATATTTATTGCAAAAAGCATTTGTAAATTAAAAATTGATAGATTTTGATGTTTTATTTATTTTTTTTGAAAGATTTATTTAATTTATTCAATTTTTCAAATTGTAACTTAAATATATTTAAAAGTTAAAATATTTCTTTTTGTTTGTGGATTTGGCTATTTAAAAAATTAAATAAATTAAATAAATTAAATCGACGTGTATATATTTTTTTAATTTATTTATTTTTTCTTTAATTTACAAAAGGCTTTTGTAAATAAAAAAAATAGATTTTGATTTTTTTTTAAAATTTAAATTTACAAAAGGCTTTTGTAAACTAAAAATTGAATAGATTTTGATTTATTTTTTTTAACTTTATTTATTTTTTTAATTTACAAAAGGCATTTGTAAATTAAAAAATAAATCGATTTCGATTTATTTTTTAAATTCTATTTATTTTTTTTAATTTATTTAATTTTTTAAATAGCCGGCTGCCACTGAGTCACTCTATTATATATAGTTTTTTTATTTTTAATTTACAAAAGGCTTTTGTAAATTAAAAATGTAAAGTAAAAAAATACATAGATTTTGATTTATTATTATTATTTATTTAATTTAATTTTTTAATTTTTTAAATTGTAAATTAAATATATTTAGAAATTAATATATTTCTTTTTGTTTGTGGATTTGGCTATTTAAAAAATTAAAAAAATTAAATAAATTAAATAAATTAAAT